TACCAGGAGAATTGACAACAATGACTCTTCCAACTCCATATGCAATGGACATAAGCAACAAACTTAATTAATGAGTTAAATTAATTGTTCGAGCTCGCCTCGTTTAAGTGAATGATAATGAATCGAGTTCAAATTTTAACGAACTAAACCGAACTGGATTGATCACGGTCTATTAAAGAACTCGTGCACAACTAAAGAAAAAAAAAGAACATAAAGAAAATATCTATATATAGTAAATTAATATGAGAAGAATGACCGCTTTTGAACAGCCACATTAGAAGCTTCGCATGGACTTGATATTAAGAGGGAAAAAATTGTATTTTTTGATATAGGAAACATGAAATAACTGGTCTAAGCAAAAAAGAATGATTATCTTCATTAATCAACTACAATTTCACAATACATGAAAGAAAAGAGACACATCATGAAGTGTACTTTATTTAAACAAAAATGTATTTTCAAATTACAATATTATTATACTATAACAAACAACATAAGCAAATTAAAATTCGATATTCCATAACATGTGTACACATTGCTAATAAAAATGGGAGAGACTACATTCCCGTTATGGAACCATTATGTCGAGATTTGTAACCGTTAAATCAACTATCCCCGACGGTTACATGATGATCTAACGGTTACAAACTCTAACGGAATAATTCCGTAATGAGATCGTAACATTTACCAATAAAAATATATAACGAGTCAACACGTCTAAGAGTTAGGCCGTCTCACGGATGAGTCCGAATGGCCCTAATCAGTGCCACATGAGTCCCAAGCCTGTCCACCTTTCCACTAACCATCTTCACGACACACTGACTATCCACCTCCGCAATCACTTGACGAAACCCAAGTCCCACGCCATACTCAGTCCTTGCAAGAGGCCCAAAAGCTCGGCACCTATAATGGTGCAATACCCGATGTTCATAAAGAAACCCTCTATCCATTAACCCATCTCGTCCCTAAGCAAACCCCCAACACTGCTCATATCGAAGGCCCCATCCGTGTTTACCTTAACCCATCTGGCGACATATTTTTGAATTTTGATACATACGATACTTTGTTAAAAAAATATTAACACCAACAAACCGGAAAAAAAAAAAAAAAGAAGAAGATGAAGAAGAACAAGAAATAGCAGTTCGTATATTCGTAAGGATAACACGCCATTTCTTGATTCAACTCGCCTGATCATCATGACCAGCCACTACACATCAAGAAACAAACACACACACACACGACACAAACCCAAATTCGAAAACCCAAAAGCAAACAACACAGCACAAAAACCCTCGCACACCACCTGTTTGATAATATTCCTACGAGCTTCTTACAACTTTAGTACTAAACTCCCCTGCATTCATGCATCAATCAGTAACAAACACGCCCTTATACTTCCTCGCAGCCTCCCTGCAGTCGATCGTCCCCGCATACTTCTCCTCCACGTGGGGCCCGCCCGGCCTCCCGTACCTTTTACGTGCTTCGCTGCTATCTATGACTTCCCGGTTGTTGCCCTGTTGCGGTTTATTCGGCTTCTCATAATTACCAAACTCTGAGTCTCCCACCCTCGTTTTGATCTGAGGTGGAATCTTTGGCCCAGGAGGGACAAAACCGTGATTAAGCTTGGGCCCCTCGTCGTACTGTGTCCGATCACGGTTCGGAATGTTAGCGTACGAATGTGGAGCGTAGCCGGCTGGTTTGTTCTTTTCTGTATTGTAAACGTTGTTGTCGGGCTTTTTATCGTAAATTGTATCGGGCTTTACAGGCCTGTTATACGGTGTTCGGTCACGGTTTTGAATATTAGTGTAAACTTCGCCGTCGGGATTTTTACCTCTACCGTAAAGGCGATCGGGCTTTATCGGCCCCTTACATGCAGTGTCGGCATACATATCTTGATCATGTTCGTCATTTACACTATAGTAAGGCGTAGGGTCGTAGTGGTAATTTCCCAAAGTAGGGCTTTTCTCTGTCTGGAAACTGATCTGGGCCAAGCTTGGCCCCTTGGGCAACGCGTACATAGGCGGAGGTTGGAATTTGGGGGCGGAAGGGTATTTACCTCCTGCAGCGCGGTCCATGGCGTACACCTCACTTCCAGCTGCTGGCGGGCTGTGGCTGCGGTCCTCCGCAACCCCAGCCCGCCTGAGCTGGACGAGCTGTTCAGTTGCGAACATGTAGCTCTGGGAGTTGTGGCTCGCAAAGCGGGCCACGATCGCATGTTGTTGGCCGGGCAAGTGGTCTGGGTAGATTGGCTCTGTGCCGATGTAGGGCGTGTAGGTTTTGTTGTTTCCATTGGCGTAGAACATTGCATTCATATTATTGTTGTATATTGTATTTGAGTAAACTAGACAAGTTTTTTGTTAGTTTGTTTTGGTGTGTCGGGTGAATTTTATGCGATTGCTTGGCTCGACTTATATACGAAATTCATGTGTTACACTTGCTGTACTGTATTGTAGGGAGAATAAATTATGGTCTGGTGGTTATAATCAGAATCTTTATAAGGTCTGAGTTGTGTCACAAGATATGAAGGAATCAAATTCCAGTAGGAATTGAAGCTTTACCAAAACAGATAATTTTTTTATCAGGATAGGTATGAATTTAAATGATCTTTTTTATGGGGATCAAAGAATAATATATCGCATTCTGAATATTTTTGGGTGGTTTGTGGATGAAGATTTTTGACCATTTGTGGGCAAAAATGGAATATATAAGTTGATTATGTGTGCAGGTGATATACTGATATAGCGTAAGACGGGTGAATGTGGAGCTTTTAGCCTCCAGCAAAGTGATCGGACGTCTTTTATACACGTGTAAGATGACTTGGTTTTTGTAAACGTGGCATTGGTCAAAGGTGAAATTTATTTTCTTTTTTGGGGAAGCATATTTGTGTGACGTGACAAGGATTACTGTCCGAGTCGGTCCTGAAAATTATTAGGTCGTGGCCTCGTGGGTCAAATATGTTAAAAGATTTTTGCCCCTTATATTGCTAAAAAATGGTTTTGCATTTTTACTAGGGAATTATCGAATGACACGACTCGACTATAATTATTGACAAATAATATTATTGTTCAAGTCGGTCCTGAAAATTATTAGGTGATGGGTCAAATATGCTAAATGATACCCTTAATATTGCTAAACTATGGTTTTACTATGAAGTTATCAGATCACACAACTATAATTATTGACAAATAATTTATCGGCATATATGGTACAATAAATATATTATTGTAGAATAAGATATTCAAAATGGAGTCATACATATTATTTATAACCGAGTCATAAACGAAAAATATATATATGTATGATTTTGAAACAATCAACAAAAATGCACTACAAATCAACTTGTAAACTATAAAAGCTAGTATATTTATAAATCTAAGAAAAAAAAAAAAAACTTCATAAATATGAAAATAAAAAGAATTTTGTAGGTGACCGGTGCTAATTACTCTAGTTAATTAGGCTTTTTTTTTGGGGTGAATTTTGACAGAGAAATAACATGAACTTCAGTGGGCTAAACAGTAAGATTACTTGCTGACTTTGGGAGTGACCCAAGTTTCCGCTTTTGTGAGCCCAACCCAAAATATAATATAGAGGGCCCAATAACTATTATGATAATAATTATTTATTATGAAAAACTACATCTAATCCACCTAACTATAGAATTTTTATCACTTTATCTACTCAATTTTTTTTTGTGACACTTTGCCCATATAATTTTCTAAATAATTGTACTTAACCAATTTTCGATTATCGTCCGACAATTTCTAAGAGACTTTAATCATGAATTAATTTTCTATGACATTGTGGAGTGCCCTAATCCTTGCTTTTCCAATGATATAATTAAGGGACTTTAATCACTTTATGGGTAGAGTTTTTGTCTAAACGTCAAAAAGAATGACACAACAATTGCTTCTTATCAAAGTTTAAATAATTAAATTATTAATTGTATGCCCCTTTTATTTGATTTTGTGTGTAACTTTTAAATATATATAAAAAAATGTATTGATTATAAAGATAAGGATTTTTATTAAAACTATTTAAATTAACGTAAAAGAATTATTAATTAGTTATGTTACATGCATAAACACATCAAGAAATAATTTCGATGGTTATGAGAAAACCATAAATTTTTTAAAACTACTTGAATTAAAGTAAAAGAATTATTAATCAGTTATGTTACATGCATAAAACACATCAAGAAATAATTTCCATGGTTATGAGAAAACCATAATTTTAAACCAGTCAGATAAACGAAGTGGAGAGATCTCTGGGTCACCGAGTGTGAGTCGGATAATTAATTTTAATATTTTTAATATTATCTATACATTATTTTAGTCATATAAAATACACATAAAAGTAACAAAATTAATGTTTTTGTTTATAAATTTTGTACATCTAAGTGGTAACAATTTTGTATCTCATAATAAGTATCTACATAATAAGTATCTACTGTGTATATATATATATATATATATACATATATATATTTAATATGTACATATTTTTCAATAATGGTCGGGTCAACCAGGTTGACCCGACTAGGTTGATTCTCTGAGTCAATGCCGAGTTGCATGAGTCTTTTGTAACTTGGTTCGAGTAATTCACCCGAATTGGTTCTTTTCAGGTCCCAAATCGACTCACTAAAATCTGGGTTAAAAAACTATTGAAAAAATAACTCAGATGAAAATAGTCAAAGACTCAAAATATGAGAATATAATTTCAGAGTCGTCGAACGAAACAAGAAGCTTGTGAATTAGGATCGGCTAATTTAATAAATGAGTTGGACTCGAGCTCGTTTAAGCAATTTTCGGTAGTTTCGCTTGTAGTTTGTTGAAGCTTTAGTTGGACTCGTTAATACTAATTGACTCGAGCTAAATTCGGTTCGGCTCGTTTTTATAAAATTTTGATTTTTAAATGTGCCCACCATTTTTAGATCTGCAAATCGTCGTCTCCTTCATCTGCGTAACCACACTCTTTTCTCGTAAGCTCTCGTCAGACTGAAAATGCCTCCCACTGAAAAAGACTCCGATCTCAGGGTACAGTTTCCTTTCTCTCTCTCTCGTTTTAACAAGTCATTTGAACACTTTCAACTGCTACTTTCTTCACAGTAACTTCCTCTTTTTGTGTGTGCGTTTTTGTGGGTTTCTTATTTTACAGATATCATCCCCTAATCCAGCCACTGCACGTACGAGGTAAGAGGCAAAGGGCCTGTAAATTGTTGAATTTGTCGATCTTTCAGTTGTTTCCTACAATGGGGGTGAAGTGAAGATAAAATGATAAATACTAGAAAACATGGTTATTTTTAGTAAAAAAAATTATATGCCCATTTTCTTTACATGTGAATTGGAAAACATTATCCTTCTTCTTCTTCAGCGAGAATGTGTTTGCGAATCTCAACAACTTGGAGCACTGTGCTAAGTATTTGAACAATACCCTCGTCACATTTGGCTTCCCTGCTTCCCTCGATCTCTTTGCAAATGATCCAGTGAGTTTAATGTTATTTCAGTTCTTGGGTTTCTTTTTTCCTGATAGAAGATGTAATTTTGCGTTTTAGGTTGATATTTATGTTGTTTAAATGAGGTTATTGTGAATAGGTTTCTGTAGCACGAACTTGCAATTGTATATACGCCTTGTTGCAGCAGAGGCAGAGGGATGTCGAATTCAGGGAGTCGGCCAACGAGCAGAGGCAACGGTACCAATTTTGCTGCAATTTGTTCTTATACTAGATTGTTATATTCTTAACTGTTATGATGTTAGGGTTTCATTTGAGTTTGCTCTTTAAGGGTTTACTGTTGGTTTATGTCCTGCAATGGTGATGTATGTCTGGTTTGTTTGAGTTTTGGTTTTTGCTGGTGAAAGAGTGAAAGAGATAGGAAGTGGATTACGACATGGTCTCATGGTTTATGATATGGAGGACTAGATTGAATGTTAGGTTAGTTTTAAGGAAAAGATTGACAAAGCATAGCTCATTTCTTCTATGCTTGCAGTGTGGCTGAAGTTATACAATTCCAAACTTGTTCAATATGGGGTAAACTCTTTATTTTACTTGGTAGTCAGCGTGGACGTTTTTCTAGTGAATTTCTGCGTGTTACTATTTGTGATAATACTTTTCAAATGGTACAGCTGTCCAAATATTATGGTTTTGGGGGAATGTTGTTCCTTCAATTTGCCACCTTTTACCAGGGAAATCAATATGTCCACTTGTATTTTTTTGCAAAGTGAATTTATTTTGTAACATGTAACTGGATATCAAGCTACTAGCAAGTTGATATGGTATAGTATGACTTTAACTTGTATTCCCGGCTGAAGAAGTTGGCATGGCGTTAAAAATGAGAGCTAATTCCCTAAATGATGCATTCATGTCATCTTGCTTTCAGCAGTGTTTGTTTGTTTATCCATTTGATTTTTTTTTTTCCTTCTTTTTGCATTCTGTGAGAAGATGACCGACATGGTCGTATTTGTTTTTATAGACTCTTATCAGACATTTCAAGGTTGGAAGCCAGAATCGAGAGACTCGAATCACAATTATCTGGCAAAGATAGGGAGATAGCTTCAATGACTAGAGCGGTTTGTGCAGTGTTTTCGTATTGGAAAAATTGGTTGCAATGCACCTAATGGTAGTATTTTCCCTGACTCAATAACAAATTCCATTAATAGGAAGCTAAAGCTACAGCAGCTTTCAAAGCCCAAATCGATAAGTTGCAGCAGGAGAGAGATGAATTTCAGAAGATGGTCCTGGGTAATCAGGTTTAGCTTTTTTTACCTTTTCCGCGTTTTCATACTAGGGATGCCAGTCACCTTATGTTTGATTCTAACTTCGTAATTTCCAACAGCAAGTCAGAACTCAGCAGATTCATGAGATGAAGAAGAAGGAAAAGGAGTATATTAAGTTGCAGGTTTTGATAATTCTGTGCTCCTTATCAGTCTTGGAAATGTAATGTCGGATTATCCTTCACCGGTATCAAGAAGAGGCTACAGAGCCTCGTATCCTTATATTGACATGTTATTCCTTGCAGGAGAAACTTAATCAAGTAGTAAATGAGAAGAAGAAGGAATCTAGATCAGGCATGGAAATTATGAATTTGCTACAGGTAAATGATTTGCAACTTACTAATATCTCCTTTTTAGATTTAAATTTATTGTTTCTTATGGGTTTATGTCTTGCGTACAGAAAGAAGGCCGGCAAAGGGGGACATGGAATGCAAAGAAGGCTGATACTGATTTCTACAAAAAGATTGTAAGTAACGTGAATGAACTGTTTAAGTTTATTGCCACTAGAAACTTCTCCCTTTACTATATGGTGCTTGTAGGTGGATGCTTATGAGGCCAAGAATCAAGAATTGGTTGCAGAGAATGCCGATTTGAGAGCATTACTACGTTCGATGCAGGTATATTGAATGGTGTAGACAACTATAAAATAAAAGAAGTGTGTTTATTTTAGTTCTGGTTTGATTTTTATATTTGTTTATGTTTTCCATTTTCATTTCCGATCAGGAAATTGTGTTTATGGTTTCTGGCAGTGAAATAACATCTGCCATTATAATATTTATAGTTCTCTCTCTCTCAGTCTACGCTGTCTTCTGAGAAGAAAAGTACTTGGTTTCATATATTCGCAAGAAATATCTGGATAAGCATTGCTTATTTTCCATCCCATCAGGCCTAATGTTTTAGCCTTCATTATTCTGAAGCATATATAGGTTCACTTCAGGAACTTGAAAAAAGATCCAGATGAAAGGCTAGAATATTAAAACCTGACAACATATACTTACAGTGATATATCTGCGTTTATCTGTGAAAACTTGTATAACTAAAGCTTTCATGGCTCCAGGTTGATATGCGTGAGTTCTTAAATGCTCCAAACAGGAAGAAGTCTTCTCCTAACAATGACAGGCCAGATGCTGACCTGTCACAGTCCCCCTTGGGTGGAAGGACGGTATGCAAAAATGTCGAAAGAGATATAAATTATTTTGTAAACCTCCATATGGTAGAGTAAGATTTAATTATTAAATTATGCAGGACATGTTTGATCTACCTCTTCACATGGCCAGAGACCAAATTGAAGAAAGCCTTAGGACAAAGATGGCTTCAATAAAGGTAGAATTCCGAGCTCATGTTGATGTATATGTTGAGAGAGCAAATTTATTTGATTGCCAATTTTTTTTTCCGTTATTTAAAAAATGAAGGAGCGCATGGTTCAACTACAAGATGCACAAAAGGATGCAGAGGTCACTTCTGAAGTTACTGAAAGAGAACTAGAGCTGGAAGCACAGCTTGTTGAGGCAAGAAGCATAATTCAAGAGCAGGTATTTGTTATTGTATAATGTGAGCGTTGCATCTCGTTATTTTCTTCTGAATAATATTATGGTCAAGACTAGAATTCTTTCCATTTTCCAAGCTATTATAATGTATTCCTCTGACCCATGCAGTGTGCTTCTTTAAACATATGACTTGTCTAGTGTTAGAATAATTCTCTTCCCATTTTTTTTAGTACATGTAACATATTCATGACCAAGAATTATTTTCCTTTATACAGGCATCAATAATGTCTAAACACATATCTAAGTCCGAGAAGCCTAGGTAATTCTTTGACAATGGTGTTCCTCCCAAACAACGTACACGCTTGTACATACCGACAAAACATATTATGAGATGGCCATAGGTTTAAAAAGAAAGAAAAAAAAAACTAATAAACAGAAATTTCCTGTGCAGGAGATTAAGTGGAAATTTCAATTCTGACAGGAGCTCGATATTGTCATCGCCATGAGAGGTACTGCTAAATAACCTTTTTGATACATCTTATTATTCCAACGCAATAAGTTAAAAGAAAAAAAAAATAACTAAAAGTAAAGTAAATCTATTTTCCTCCTGTGTTAGAATTTTGCATCGACTAACTAGACTTTCCTATTATCGTACAAATCGTGTTGCTTTATACTTGTGTTCTTACGTGCACGTGCCCTTTTTTTTTATTTTGTGTAGGGGATGTAAAACCTCTGAATTAGTAAGGTAATCTTGGTTTTTTTCCCTGACACCATCTCTTTTGTAGCCTCTGGAGAGCATGAATACTATCATTGCTTAGTGTGCATATGTAATTGCTCTGAACATTTTTAACTTATGGCAGACATTTAGATATATAGGTTTGATTGAACAGATGAAACTGTACTCTCGAATACAATCTCGTCTATTGTTTATTGTCGTGCGCTTTGGATTCTAGAAAACATACTTATGCTTGTATTATGCTAACAATGAAAATGCCATTGCTGGTTCTTTTATTCATTTTTCTCCATGTTTTATGTATTCAGATATAGAAATCACAACCTGCCAAACAGTTGAATAAGATATATACATAAGAACAATTTTTTCCAACCTAAGCCTTATGGTGATAATGAGATAATTCTTAGGGTCACCTCTTGACCAAAAGAAGATATTTATACCAATACCTTTCTCCTCAAGGTTCTTTCGGTGCACAGTTCAGTGCAGTTATGTCATATTATTTTAGTTTAGAATATTGTTTGGCAGCTCTGTTATTGATTTTTTTTAACCAGTTTGGATTATGATTTTATTTTATTTTTTCCTGCATGGTTTTATACAAACCGAACCCTTGTGTTGTTACACGGAAATTAACAACAACCAAATTGGGATGTATGTTAAGTTAATCTAGATGTTTAGCGATGAAAAGCTTATGTATGTTATTCAGAAATATAATTTGTAGCATGTAGTAAGGTGGTATTCTTCTCTGTCTGGGAAATTCTCTATTTCCCTTTTATATTTACATACCATAATTATCTGTACAGTAATCATTATATTTTGAACGGTCAAAGGCGGTCCTTGGTGGTTTCTCTTGATAGCTTGCCACTTGGATAAACGTAATGATGAATTACGCTGAGTTGTCGCCGCCTTACCATGCTGAGCTGGCATGTTATAGATATCGGTATACTTAGTTATAACCGGTACGTCGTGGCTGACATGTAGTAACCGACATGTGTTGACCGACATGTGTTGACCGACATGTGTTGACCGACATGTGATATCGGTCAACTTTAGTAAGGATGTCGGTTTCTGCTGAATCTTCATTGTGTAGTTATCTGGAAGTTGGTAGAAGTGTCTCTTGCTCACATGAACTCTAATCACCATTATATTGATCTCAATCAACGGATTAATGTCGCATAATCCGACTTACAGAAAATGATATCAACACCTTGAAGCATAGAAAAACCATACCGAGCCGACCTATGCAATTCGGTGTCATGTTGTTTGGTTATTTCTAGTGTAAAAAGTTTTCAATTCGATATTCGATTCGACTTTTTTTGTGTGTTGCAATGCGGCCTGATTTTCGCAATTTCGGTATTCGGCCGGGGTGTGCGATTTTACACCAAATTGTACCGTTGTTTGCCCCTATCCATTATAACATTTTTTTTTTTCAAATATTGAAATAATAATCAACATTTTATTTTTTTTTTAATAAAAACTATATTGGGTGGATTAGAAAATCCAAAAAATTAAGCAAAGGTGGGCTAGTACTTCATGTTCCAAATTAATTTCAATAATAAATTCGGCAATATCTTTACCAAGTTGTTTTATTATTGAATCACACATACTTGTTTTCACCCATATCCATATAGGTGTGTGTTAATTCATCGATTTTGTTCTAGAAAAATTCCAACAAATTGTATATAATCATGACTTATGAGGTGGAAATTTTGATATAATGATGTTAACCGGTAATTGACCTTAAAAGTGAAACATTTTGTTTCTATTTTCAATTTGGTGAGCAACCTAACTTATTGTACAACGAACACAAAACATAGCACATGTTATTACTTATTAGTCTCCAACTTTTGGATTGTAATACAAACTATCCTCGTACAATAATGCCCTTTTCAAAGCCTGGTTTAAATAATTGTTTGGTAAATAGCTGTTTGTATGACTGCATTATAATTTTTATGTTGCTCTATAAATCTTCTCTTTTCAAATGCTCGGTTTATAAATAGTTGTTTGATAAATAACGATTTGCACATTTATTTAGGAAATTTTATGTTAGCATGTCCTTTTACAAATATTCTCTTTTCAAAATGCTTTTATATTGTGCTTTTTTAAAATTAGTATTTTCGACCAAAATGCCAATTAATTAAACTTTTCACCTAGTTAATGGATTTGACGGATCAAAACTCTAATTAAGTTTCAATCCATCTAAAATACAATTATTTAGACTATGGATAACATATAAATTATTTATTCTCTTATTTATATAAATAAAAATATAATGTATAAATAACAATCTCTAAAATAAAATTATTTAGACTATGGATAACATGTAAATTGTTTATTCTCATATTTATATAAATAAAAATAATGTATAATATTATATAAATAAAAAAAAAATTATAAAGAATAAAAAGAGGTAAAGGGAGGGGAGGGGAGGTGATGTAAAATAATTTTACCTTGTTTGGATGAATTATTTAGGAGGGGAAGGGAGGGAAAATGGTAAACCTTGTTTGGTTGATGAAGGGAAAATAAACTAAAATGACGAATTTACCCTTAATGAAATAAAAAAAA